TTTGTGTTACAGCTCAGGTTTAAAGTCTGCAGCTTTTTAAACTTCTCCAGATTTTCAAAATAGGTTGTGAATTGCCACAATAAACCATCTTAGATATTGTCCATGACAACAGAATCTGAATTTGAAATAATTAACTAAATCCCAATTGACACAATGCTGAAAAACCTTTAAAAGTTCATTTACTATTACAAGGATCGCAATCTTGATGTTTTTTGGGGATGAAACACATTAGCAAAATGCTAGAAAAACTCTGCCGATTCATTCTACAAACAACTCCCCCTCCTTTCCCAGGGACAAACCTAGTATATTGAATTATTTTGAAAATAGAAGAGCTTTTGAACCAGGAGTCATAGGGGAGTTTTCTGTATTGATGTTGAACAAAAACCAATGTCCAATATACATTTTTTACATTTAAAACATATTGCTATTACAGTTTTACATATTGTACCTAAATTACTGTAAAAGCGGCACTAATATGGCCACCATTTTTAATGAGTGGCCATTTTGAAAATCGGATTTAGAGCAGAACTTCTACCCCCATAAGGTATATGTGTACAAAATAAGAACAAAATCGGGCCAACGGTATTTGAGTTATTGAACAGAGGGACAGACAGATAGACAGGCTGCAATAGCTCACCATGTGAGTTCAAAATTGAGCCCTTCAGACTGTATCATGCCCCATTAACAAGGGTATGGGGTACACGGTTTTTAGACAAAGAGCAGAAATGAGGCTTCATCTAACTTTGTAAATACACTTTTTACATATTACCTTTGATACTGTTTTAGCATCAGCTAATATATAATAACATATATATGATAATATACTGGTATAATTGTCTCTGTTGTTTTTTTTCAAAAATATGGTCGAAATAATTTCAAAAATCAATAGAAAGTGAAAGCAAGAGATTAACTGCTGGCAACAATGACTAATAAACAGAAATTAGAATGGCTCTCATTTCAGTTTATTTAAAAATACAGTGCACAGTGTTGTAAATATGTAAAATTTCAAAATTATAACAACATATATTCTAAATGTAAAATGGATTTTAAGAAATTAATAAATACTTGATTTCAAACAGATTATTATATGGTAATGGTAGCAGAATGCTTACAGTATACCTGTATATGTCAACCTCTCAGTCATAAGATCTTTAATGTGTTCTTTCAATCATCTCAATTTTGATGACTGTAGACGGAAAATGAAATTTTGTAATATCAGGGGTGAGATTTGATTTTTTACAGATACTATTTAGAATATAATACGTAAACTAAGTCCTCGTAATGAGAGGTTGTTCTGCCTTTGTATAAAGCCATTTGCTCACTAAAATAACATCTATAAATTATGTTCTGTTGTGAAGTGTATGCTTTAGTGTTTGTTTCTTGCAAATAGTCTCGCCAACTGTCCATATTAAACGTAGAAACTGATGAAAAGAACAATAGCCATCAGTTTACTAAATGTTTCATTTCACACAAACTCCTCATTTTGTCAATGATTGCCATGGCTCTGCCCACTTCTTCTAAGACTCGGATGTAGATGGTTTGTGTCAGCTTTCATTATAGTCTTTATTGAAGAATTGTTCTGATTTCAGTTCATTGATAGAGTCTTTAAAACCCTGAAAATAAAAAGTATAACATTTAGGACAATTTGACGCATTAAAATCTAATATATGAAATGATCATTGGAGAGCTATGACAGAAGGCAGCACATTTTAACTTGACTTTTATTTTGTTTAATTTCTTCAGTAACCAACCTGTATTGTGTCTTCTGTATCTTTGGGCAGAGCTCTACCTGAGTAAAACCCTGTTGTATTTTGTACTTCTTGTAGCCTTGACCTGTGACCATCATTCAACCCTGACCTTTTACCCTCACGCAACCTTGGACGGTTTGCCGAGAAAGATTTATGCCTTGTTGCCATAGTAATACTGCTTGTTGATAAATCCTGTAAAAATACAAACTAGATTAAATGTGTGTGGACAATACTGGTGTGAAAGAATTATTGTTCCTCATAATTAGGAGAGCCAAATGTATAGTGGATCAAATGGATAATTAGTCTGGATTTTAACAATCACACATTGTTGTATTTGATTGATTGTGTCCTAATAGATCTAGTTTTTTTCATTCTGCTCTATTTAACATATACTCACAAAAATTAAAAAATATAATTCTATTAAAAAATGAAAAATAGATCATACTTTGGTTGACAGAAGGTCATCTTCTCTAGTAGGCGACCTTGACCTTTCTGACCATGTAGGTGACCTGGACGTTTGATTTCTTGATCTAGAGTTTGACCTTGACCTTGTTAGTTCCCTGATGGCCTTGATATCTGCTGATTCACCAGACCCAAGAACCTAAATTACAATACATCAAAACAAATATACTAAAACATAAGTAAAGATGGATCCAAAGTTGGCTAGGATCTCCTATGAGCATTGCAGTCAGTGGATACTGAAAAGGCTTGTACCAACCAAATCTTTTTTGAGACTGATAATCTAAAAACATGCACAATGTTTCACAACATTTGTGTAGAAGTGTGATGTTGAAAACTTTGCTCCATATGATAATGTTGTCATGTATTTTCCAAATGAAATCATACGAGAGGTAAAGCTACTGAGGGGTGACTTCAAAATATCAATGTTTGACAAATTAATTTAGTTTTGACCTTGGCCCACCACCTCCCCCAGAACTAAATACCTCAAATGTTGAAATCATGAAGGTTCCAATGGAGTTTCCTTTGTACTGGATGAATGTCCATCATATTTTTTGAACCATTTATAATTTATGATCTGTTTTATGTTCTACAGTAAGTATGGGGTAGGTAATGAATCATTTATTTTCATGTTTGGGTAATACATGAAAATATTATTTTCATGTATTATGAAAATAATACATGAAATATATACTGTTTGGAACAGTATATATTTGCATATAATGGAGAGGTTAAGCTACCGTATAAAATCCAGAACGCAACTTAAACGTATCAATCGGCCCTATACAAATACATGTAGAGTTCACACATAAATAGCCGTTCAGCTCTAGTGTTTGTTTAGACTACACCATAGCTTGTAATGATTACATAGTATGCAATTGATGAAGTTCAATAGCTGGTTTTCTAATACATATTTTAAACGAGCTCGTTTCGTAAGATTATTGGAGTTAAATCATGCGTTACACACATCATCTTCTTCAGAAAGAATTATACTTTTCATCGAAATCAAAATTCCAAGGATAGTATTCAACAGACATGAGTATAATGATTCCCGTTGATAGCAACGTGAAAATTAAAAATCTCCCGTTCTAAACACGCAACTTTGAAGTTGAACGGGTATCTGAAGTAGACTAAAGCGATACAATCCTATGTTGATTCAATGTACTTTGGGTTTACGTATACGTTTTGAAAAACCGTATTTGCTTAACCTCTCTACTGTTGCAAATTTTACAAATGTCCATACAAATATTTAAATTGGAAGCTATTGGGGTAAGAAAGGAGTAAATGCTACTGGTTTTGATGAATTTACATACATCCTGTAGTGTGTTGAGCTTGTGCTTTAAACCATCCAATGTGTCAGCTGACTGTTTACGTCCACTTTCTATAGTTTGGGCATGACGGCTCATCTGTTGCTGAATTTGTCTCTGAAAAAACACAGAATCTGAATCAAGACCAATTACTGTACAAGGTATTAACTCAACCATTCAGCCATATAGCATGGGAAAGCATAAAACTTACAAAAACGTTAAATGTCGCAACCTGTCATTTGTTACAGGCACCAATCATGGAAACCAACCGCAATTCACAAAAAGTTGAAGACTACAACACTTATATCTGGTGGTGACATAAAAATTGAATCATAAGTCAGTAGTATCCTTACTTTTATATCATCCTGTTGCTGTTGAAACTCAAGATTTTCTTTGTCTTTTCTGACAGACTTCTCTCTATCTCTCAATGTGACTTCCCTGGTTGGCACATCGTCAAAATCTTCATGGACCTGGAGACATAAAAAACCTGTGTTGTTTTTTGCTTTAAAAATATGCATCTTAATCAGTGTTATTGGACTTTTAAGGACATTCATATGGTAGGTCTATCTACTGAACTCTCCGATAAAATGCGGATATATTCATTCTTTTTTAAGTATTTCATTATAAAAAACCATGACAATAAATTGTAAATGCTACAATGAAGGACACCTAAAATGCCACTAGGAATTGAATCCCTCTTGTATGACCTGTACTTGATAAGATAATGGAAATAAAATCTGTTTATAAAAAAACAGTGGGAAACATGTGTTCTTCCTCGAAATTTCTTCATAGTGTAAGCACAACAATTGTTGACATAACAAGATGTCTTCATTATCATTACATCTCAAGGTTCCAGCAAGCCAGTTATTTATTACACAGTTATCTGTTTAAGGTACATTTTAATTTTCTTGATTGAAGACTATAAAGGACTTACTAGTCTCAAGTTCTGCTTTAAAGTCAGCAGATGTTTTTCTATGTGTTCTTTTTGTTGATACAATATATCAGTTTCTACTCCTGTGTTGTCAACCAGTCTAGACTTCTCTAACTCCTGTAAACCTTGAGAAACTTCCTGTAAATAGATAAACATCCATTTTGCCAATGATATGGTGTTCTTAAGCCTTGTAAACATTGGAAAACGTCATTGCAAGATTCAGGATCAAATTATTAGATGCAATCCTTCGATCTATCTACCTGGACCAGTTAATTGTATATCCCGAATGTTGTTATGATGCAAAACTACCTGTTTTAATAAGTGCAAGATATGTAAAACCTTTTTCTATATAAGGAATAATAATATGAATCAATAAAACTTGTTCTGCATTATAAAGTAACTAATACTTATTCTTATTTTTACAAACAAAATAGCAATATTATTTACAGATGTACAAAATTAAATCATAATGAAAATATATCCAACCTCTTTTATATCAGATTTAAGTTGATATAAAGCGTTTTCCAACTTGCTGTCCTTCTCTCTGCTTTGTTCTTTGATTCTTAACTGTGAAACAGAATAGAAAAATACAGTAGACTTTTATACGCTGGTGCAATATTAGCTCTTATCTTAGTCCTAATCTTTGTATTATTTCGACTTCTATTACATATTTACCCCACTCTACAACTGAAACATAGCATTTATTGAACAAATTGTACTTAGGAATGAAAATGTTATAATTTTCTTCAAAATATATAGATAGTAGATACTGATCATTTTGGTACGGAAATCTTGGTTTCTCAAAATAAAATAGTTGATATTGATATGTTTTCAAATCTAAATGAGAATAATACAATATTTTAAGTGATACATAATGATAACACAGTCAATCTCCAACAGTACTGTATGGTACCGTTTTTGCTACAGTACTGCGAATTGGGAGTGTAATGCAGATACCTCTCTTTGTAGTGCTATGTATTGAGTGTGTAGATTATTTAGTTCTTCAGTCAGTCTATTTGCCCGTTGACAGTGGTCCTGTGATAAGGTCTGAAGTTCTTGTATTTGACTGGCTGCAGTACGTTTTTCCTTCTTTAATTCCTAAAATGGTAACAGTACATAATGAAGCTATTTTGGGTCATCAATATTGGGATATATGGGATTTGTTTTTCTTATGACTGCTATAGAATTGAGTTTGCTTTTTTGCAACAGATTTTGGTCCTTTCCCTTTGGCACTTGTGCTCAGATATTTTATTCTACAAAGGGACCGAATAAAAGGGCTACATACACAAAAAAGTAGAGCCAAAACAGTGATGACGAAGACAGTTGAAAATTACATCAGGCTGCAACAATGATGATTTTAGTTACCATGAGTGTGTAGAACATTCGAGGCATAAAGGAGTTAAAAATATGTAATACAAAATCTGTGAAATTTATAGTTATTGGAGGTTTGAAGTTGTAGATGCTGAATGATTTTACAAAATACAGTACAGAGCAGTGATTATAATCTACTTGAATTAAAGGCAGAATCAGATCTATAGGGGGTGACAAAATTACAAGCAACGTTTATATTTGACCTCCCAATCTATTCCTTACAATATCAAATACAATATCTCCCAAAAGATTCGCAATATGTTATAAATTGGTGAAGTTATTAATGATTCAAAGTGCAAAAATGGGTGAAAAATGTTTAACTTCTCCCAAATAATAAGAATGGTAACCATTCTTATAGAAAAATGATACATTATTGTAAAAATCTTTAGTTTTCCTGGACTAAAGTATGCACTTTTGTGATTTTTAGAAAATAGACATGACAAGGAATGACATGAGCCAAAAATATTCTAAAATTGAAACAATTTTTTGTCTAGCCCGCTCGCTATCTCTGATTCTCTCTTTAATGTGACAGAACAGCACATATATGTGAGATAAAGCACACTACCTTTGTCGTTGCACGTAGTTGCTCCCTGACTGCCTCTAATTCAGATTCTAAATCATGGATTTGCTCCATCCTTAAGACACCATCCTATAAAGGAAATAAGATGGTCAAACAAATAGTTGAAGCAACTTTTTGTTAAAGTGCTAAAATATTAACATAGTAGATATAGTCTAATTATAAAGATAACAATTTCAGAGAATCGTTACATTACCTAATATTTTATAATCTTCATACAGCAAAAGGAATTTGATTGATTAACTCAGACGATTCATGGAATTAATCATATACAGGGTGTCCCGCTAGAATGCCCCCTAGGCGAACATATACCAAAGTCTCCATAGTATGAGTCATATATTATTTTAAAGCTTACAAAAGTTACATTGATTTGTACATATCATAATCAAAAAAAGTCCAAATGTTGTCCAACTTGGATCATATTAACAATCAATTTCAGCCTACCTGTGTTATCTGTGCTCTTAGATTCTGTAGCTCTACATAAGACATATTCAAGGCCTCGGATAACTGGTTCTTTTCAGTGGTCCTCTCAACTATTTCTTGTTCTGAATGAAAATACTTAGGATCTAGGAGCTTTGAATTATTCACATTAAAGAAAAACGACTGTCACTTTAAACAACCTTTTTATTAAAATATCTGTTATACTTGTTAAAAAGCTGAGTCATTACACATCTCACTATATATATTAAAAAAATAAACTTATTTTTCAAAATCCACTCCGGTTAACATGAATAATAAATTGTCTGTGTTGTCTTATGTTGAGGTAAATCTATACATCTTACTATATCCCCATCAACTTATTTTTTAAATTCAATTTTTAAAACTTTTGAACAGTGTGAAGTAAACCAAAATTTTCTATTTTGTCCACTAGATGTGAATTAGTCAGAATCCATATATACTTTCTTCTAGGCTATGTCAATTTGATATATTGTAGATATGACCTACCCAGATCCTTGACTCTGGATTCTAACTGAATGTATTTCTCCTGTGTTCTCCCGAGTCTAGTTAGCTCAGTCTAAAACAAACATGATACATCTTAATGGGTTTAAATGTATGTAGAAGGATTTTGCATTTATTAAAATACACTTCAAAAGCCTAGTTAATTCAGTCTAAAAATACATGATACATTTTAATGGGTGTAAATCAAAATGTATGTCGAAGGTTTGTGCATTTATTAGCATACACTTCAAAATCATACCTTGGCTTAATAGCATAACTGGCAAATTATCTCTTTGAGACAAGGTTTGATTGGCTTGAATTGGACACTATTTGACTAGCTATGTGTGAATATATAAAAATCACTCATGACCATAGTAAAACCATGATCTTTTACAATTTAAATTTCTACTTACTAGGCATGTGATTTGAAAGATATGATACTTTTCAGAAAAGAAATGATTTACTAGGATCAAAATTGCAGACCCTTTTACTTTGCAATAAACTTTAGAAATATAGAAAGACCTGGTCTCAATGATTACTTTGCCTAACTCCAAGATATTAAGTCCAGGTACAATTCTGTCAAATTTATTAATCTAATGGATGAGATTAACATACTTTAAATATGTATGCTTGCAAAACAAAGAAGGTGAGAAAATGCAGTGCATTAAATGAACAATGTCAAAATGAAATGAGAATAATGATATGAAATAATAAAAAATGTAAAAAATGAGTATGAGATCAAAAAAACATCAAAGTTGTGTTCCACTTCTACCTTTGTGTTTTCAAGCTGTGCATTAGTGCGTTGCAATTCATCTTTATGGAGAGCAGTTTCGGACTGAATGCTGCAAAGATCCCTATTGGCCGAGCTAAGCAACTGAAGTGAAGGTGCAAAAATGTGAATAAAAACAATCAAAAAAGGAATCTCATAAAATTGCAAAGTAGAGAAAAATAGTGATATATTAGTATGGAATAAAGCAAATATACATAAACTGAAAGGCATACATGAGGAACTTTAAGAAATATGATCTGTATACCATGAAGTTCACATGAATAGAAAAACCCTGCCACATTGCATGATATATTTTGAGTAAGACTGATTTTAGGGAAATGCATTTGAATGATATTTTTGTAACAATGCAGAATAACCATTGTAAATAACACCTCAAATGATGGAAAGTTTTTTTGGAGTAAATTTGAAGATTTATTCAATACAGGATTATAGAAGTTACCAGTGGTTCAAATATACACCATTTTTATACCATTCACCAACTTTTGAGGATTTTCTTAAAGGAATTATAATCCAGTTGAACATTTAAATTATCAAATCAACACCTTTTACATAAGGTTAGGAATCTGGCAATTGGTATACAGATAAAAATGAACCAAAACAGGACTATAGTGGGATAAGTATTGAGAATTATCTTACAAAAGTGATATCATTCAAATGAGGTACGGTAAGCCATGTACAAAACAAAAATTGAACATTAGTAGCAGGCGAAAATAATAGCAAAATAACACCACGATGCATTGTCGTGCACATATGCAAAATGTGTAAAAACTAAAAATGAATAATAAAAAAGTAAAAAAACATGCATGTAATTAAAACAAAAGTTTGCAAAACCATGACTCAAAAAAGCTCAAAACAATTTGTGACAAATGTGACACATCAATAAGATAAAACATGGAGTTCAAATATATATTGTATACCTCTTTGTGCACTGTATAAACTTTTCTGCTGTAATTAAAATTTGACTGAGTTTTTATACAATAAACTGAACAAAATACCTCTGTAATTCGTGTTTCTTCATTGCGAGCTCCCTCACGAACTCTAGATAATGTCTGAAAATATGAAACATGACATTTTGTAACCTTTCTCTCCCTTTACAGTATCATGTTATTACAATAAGGGAACTAATCTAATGTAAAAACAACAATATGGAAATAACTTTCTTCCATTGACCCACCTCTCTACCCTCTAGATTTCTTTGTTGTAAATCTGCAATTTGTCTCTTGACGTCCTCTAGTTGTATTTCACTACGATCCTTCTCTCTCAGGTTTTCATCACATTGGGCTTGAAGATTTCTGATTGTGTCTCGCATGGCAGTAATTTCTAATGACATCTCTTGCTTCTGACTGGTTAGGAGTTTCAAATCCTGAAAATGGAAGTAATTAGTTATTTTGGGCTACTGACATATCAGTACGCATTAGTCAAATAAATTAATAACAAAAATATATTTCTATACCATACCTCTTCTAGATCACTATGTGTTTCCTTGACCTCATCTAGTTCATCCTGTTTGGATCTTGCTTTAACTTTCTGGTCTGAAATATTAACACACATTACATTAATGTTTTATAAACTACTTATCAGAAAACTTTGTTTCGAAGACTATCATTAACAAAATATATGAAGTGATGGTACTTGCAATTAAAAAAGACTTTTGCCAAAACCAACAGTGTTTCATATTACATTTGAAGAGCATTGTAGATATAGCCTCCTCTCTTTGGTGAAAACAACTAAAACCATGTTGCTCAATATTACTAATGGCAAAAGATTCACAGTTCTAAAGAAGAACAGTAGGATAATACACCTTTCACATGTTTTCTTAATGACTGGAGGTCACGCTGAAGTGCTGATTTTAATGATGTCATCTCTTCAAGCTCAGCCTCTCTCTGGGTTACTTCACCATGTAACACATCATGTCGAGTCTGTTCTGTTGATATCTTGTCTTCTATCTGATTATACCTCCTGATTAAAAAAGAAAATATGTACATTGATTGGGGAATTATTCCTTAAACTTTTCCAATATCTGGAAACGTTTTCAAAAATTATTCAAATAGACAACAATTATACCTTTCAATTATTTTTTTGGAGAATATGTATGTGTTATCAATTTCAAATAATTTCCAGTTCTATCAGAACGGACTAGAATGCACAGTGAACTTTAGAGATGCAGAATCTTGGATATCAATTAGTTTCCTTTGGACAGATTTTGAGAATAAACAAAATGTAATTTAGCTTCATTTCTGCTAAGAGATATCTACCAATTCAATTGAACAACCAAATCCATTGGGATAATACTTTTTCAACCTCAAGTTCAAGTTGTTATGATTCTCTATACCCACTAGTGTTTAGTGTCATTTTTGCGAAAAAATTGTAAACATCATATTGAAGTACAGAGTTCCTCTAAATTTTGTAGTTGCCATTGCAGTTTTATTCAACATAAGTATTATATATTACATATACCCACTAGGGTGTCTAGCGGCTTGTTTTAATCGTGTATATCATATAAGAATTATGAAATAAATAAATTGAATTGGAATTTAAAAAAAAAAACATTTCTAGTAACAATACAATATCAATGCTTACTTTTTCAACTGTTCAACCTTTGCCTCCAAATCCCTGGAAGTGTCTTGTATATAATGTTTCTGCTGTGTGAGAGATTCTACATTAGCCACCAAGGTGTCCCTCTCAGTCTGTAGTTCCTTCACTCGTATATGTTCTCTTTCAATTGATTGCTTCAGTCGTTCATCTTCTTGCTGCTTCTTGTTAACTGCATCATTAATATTGCTGTATAGGGATTTTTCCTACAAATGATGTCACTAATAAGATAATTCTATAAGTTGCTGAGCTCAATTCATGCAACCTTGTGAAAAGCATTATACATGTAGATTTACGACAAAGATCTAAGTGTGCATTTAATCTAGTTAATTTTGATAACAGGGCTTATCCTCCAGTATCATTTAAGATTTTTGCAATAAGATTGTTTACATCATATTGAAGTACAGAGTTCCTCCAAATTATTGTAGTTGGCAGTTTTATTCAAAATAAGTATTATCTAAATTCCCACTTTACTTTTAATTGCATTCAACATAAGTTCCCAGGCTGTACAAACCTCTAATGTTGCATTCCTTAACTTTTCCAACTCAGCAAGTGATGCCGAATTTGACTCTTTTAACTTTTCTTCATCCAATTTACCATCACGTAACGACTCTAATACAGACTTAAGCTCCATTTTATGCTTTGTGAGAGTACCATCCAAATGTTCTAAATTTGCTTCCTGATCTTTTATATCAAGTTCTAAATCATGAAGATGCGATTTTTTATCTTGTATAGCAGAAGAAATCTGTTCCTCTTGTTGGTGGAGACTACTTAGAACTTCACTAGTTTCCTAAATGATGATATACGAGGGTTGATCATAAAGTTCTCATAATATCTCTCTAATTTCTTTATTTTTCAATAATTTTCTATGAAATTTTTACAGAATGTGCAGCATAGAATGGTATATTAATCCAGCAAACAATATTCAAAATAACACAAACATTAAATAAGAAATGGTTGCCATAGTAACTTGAAATCAAGGCACCCGGGGCAAACCATGTTTAAATACATAATAAGTTGTCAAATAAGCTATCAAACACATTAAATTGTCAAATAATATGTGCTCTTGACTGTTGTGAACTATTATAATGGTCATGTGAATTGTGTGATCGCATAACGGATGATTGTCATGCTTCATAACAAGAATTAATAAGACATTCTATGCTGTACATTCTGTGAAAATTTCATTGGAATATATTGAAAAATAAAGAAATTAGAGAGATATTATGAGAACTTTATGATCTACCCTCGTATACATACAGTATATATTTTGCACAAAAATGACACTGATATCATGCATCATTCAGGTATGCAATGTTTACAAATAAATCTCTGTAGAAGATATTTTGTTCGACAGAAGGCTAACTTGTCATTTAAATAAGCAAATGTTTAAATTATCAACTGCACGAAAAATGGTACGACTTACAAACTGTTTACAAAAATGTCAAATTCCAAATGCCTGTCATAAAACAATGGCAAAAAAACTATATGTCACCATGAAAAGGCTTTTTATTGATATTGCACTTATTCCTTTCAATATGTTCAAAATTTAAAATACCTGAATCTCATGCCGACGTGCATTGATCTCTGATTCCACTTCCTTTCCAAGCTGAGCAAGTTCCTTATTTCTATCACTTTGTTGTTTCTCAAGTTGTGCTAGCTCTGTAGCTTTTTTACCTACTTCTCTATCAATGTGTTCAAGCTCCCCTCTCTCGCTCTCAATCTAGAAAATAAAATCTACCATAATGAAAATGTTGAAAAAAAGTACCAGACACATGCTAATGAATACAATAAAACCTGAATGAAAACTAACCAATCCTCCATGACATAATGTACATGGTCTTATATTTGAATAAATTGAGGCATAAATTTCTTCCACACCAAGGACAACATAGAAAAATAGTCAAACCAACTGGATAACTTACATGGTCTGATATTTTAGCTAGTTCAGCTTTTCTATTGTTTAACATCTCCTCACTCTCACGAAGAAAGTTAAGTTTGTCTTCCTCCAGTAACTTCACTTGTTCTATTTCCTCCTGGAGTTCCATGTGGCTGTAAAATTACTCAATGATAAAAGCCAATGTTAACTGTATTTCATTGACAGACAGGACGTGACCAGTAAAATATATAAATTACCTCGACATGAATTTCAGATGTAGTGTGTGGATGGCAATATTTTGAGAAAGCAAAGAAAGAGCATCTTAAATTTATCTCAGCCATTCAAATTTGCCTGACTGATTATGAATGGAAACTAATAGATAGGATTGTTGTATGTTATGAAGTAACAGTTGAAAGGTACGATTCATTGGCCATTCATAATTTTTTTGTATATTAGTATAACTATAATATCAGGTATTTTAATATTCTTACTTGTCCTTGGTTTTTTGCATCTCTCTATCAAGCTGTTGGAATTCGGCATCCCTAGAGGCAATCACCTGAATACAAAAATGTCAATGGTTAGTTTCAATTATCTTGTTTTATTTCTGGTTTTCCTGATAAAGATCTGTATGTTGATATACAAAAGCATTAACTCCATTTTGAATATGTTGTATATGTCTTCTAAAATATGTATTATGGCTAAAACCAAATCAATGGACAAAAATTGTCATGAGATATAAAATATTAATAATGTATACGTCTCAGGAAAAAAAAAATTATATTAATAAATAACTTTTCTAAACCTACCTTATTGATTCCAGCTAGGGTTTCCTCTTGTTCAGACTTTCTGGTCTCAAGGACTTCCACCTCTTCTTGTAGACTCTTCACCTTCTCTGTAAGCTCAATCAGTTCTTTACCAGCAACGTCTGCTCTCCTATCTATTTCAGTAACTTCTTGCACTGTGGTTCCAAGTTCAGCCTTTGCAGTGTCATATTTCTGTACTGTAACCATTGCCTGTGGAAGAAGGAAGAGGGGAAGGTTTGATATTTTGAGGTTATGCAACTATGGCGTGAATATGCCCAATATAGGCGGACCTTGGGAGGCTCTATATTTGGGCAAGAACGAAGGCATATTTCACATCATAGTGACATAACTGATGTATTACATACCTTTATTCCCGTGACTACTTTGTATCAATGACGTCACACATCTGTGTGCGAGTAGAATTTGATCGAAATGAAACATGGCGTCATGATATTGTTATGGTTATTAAAGAATCTGTTATCAAAACGAGGGAAGGAGGCTATTTCGGAGTAATTGGATAATATCGGTGGATATAGCCCACTAACTTTACCACTGATTTCCATACAAATGTTTCACTAGGTATGTAATACAATAAACATATATTAGTTCTTTCCCCATTCCTGTCAAATGCTCTGCTATACTTCACTAGTTAATCTCGACACATGTACATAAATTATCTGAATGTGCGTAAGTTATATCTATAGTTATGAACAAATACCTCATCCCTAGCAGCTGCCAAATCACTCTGACACTCTGCTAAAAGTCTATCAGATTGTCTTAATTCTGCACGACGCTTTGCTAAAGTTGTCTCCAAACATTTGACCTCATTCAGGAGATATTTCTGCCTTCCACGCAGGGTTTGATCTCTGTATTCCTCATCTAGGTCATAATCAGATTCTTCAGTTTCTGCATCTAATCTGCCCTCAAGATACTCTCTGAAACAATTGCAATTTTTGTAGACCAGTACAGACACGAATAAGAATCTCAACAGACTGACTGGCCTCATACAATATGTCATAGACCTTTAATATATCTACATATGGCATAAGAGTAAATTTGCCATTATAGTTATCATACTGCATCATTAACAAAACAATTCAGCTTCACAAGTCTTGACAGAGCTGGATGAAACAATAAAACACTGATCCCGTGGCTAAACATACCTTCTCTGGTTGATTTGTGCATTGGCTCTTCTCAAGTCATTTAACTCTATGTTGGCAGCCTCCTTTTCATTTCCCAACTTTCTTTCCTCCTCCTTCATAAATTGAAGAGTTGCCTTTTGTGACTCTATTGCAAGATCCAGTCCCTCTAGTTCATCTCTGCGATCTTCTAGTTCACCCTATATTTGATAAACCAAATCAATTTATACTTCTCCAGGGCAACATATTTAGAATCTTGTAAATAATCACTATGATCCAATGAGTAAATACAAAACAAAAGTTAAACAAATTTTGATTTTTAATCTATAGACATTGGTAGACGTTTATCATCAAGCAATTACTTATTATGATTGCCAACATGGCAATGTTTCTATTTTAAAGAGTTTACGGTATTCTATTACGTATTTTCTTCATGAATTAATAAATGAATCAAGGAGATTGATTTTACAAAAATGAACATGATTAATGTATGAACTGACCTTTAATCTTTTAATTGCACTTCTTTCTTTCTGTTTATCTTTGGTTCTTCTCACTGGACTTACTAGAACTAGGTCTGATCTTCTTTGTTCCTGAAAATATTCCACTCCTTTTGATGCCAAATGAACAACTGCTAATATGTTTATCTTTTATTAAAATTGCAACTTGGCTATTATTCCTCCTAAAACCCAGTGCTCATAGTTCATCCATAATATAAATATCCTTGTGATTATCCAAAAAATCATTTTCAATAAAAAACGTGCATTTCTTATGATAAACTTTAAAGGTGCAACAATTGGTGCAGGGGGGCCATTCAACGATCATCGGCCAGTGTCAAAATATATTTAAGTTTTGATATTTCATCAAGACTAACATATATTTTCATTATCTACAAAGAAACCCCCTGGATGAACATTATTTTAGCTGATATTTCTCTTGAAACATACTGGATCTTATAAATCTATAAGTGGGACTCCCTTTATAGAAGCTTTTAACTGAATTTACACTTCTTAATGTTGAAATTGTTAGTTTATACATACATTTTTAGAAAATATGTATGTCAAAGAAGGTGTTAAGTGAAATATTGACCTGATAGCTCAGAAAAAATATAAATGTTCGGATTTTCTCTCTACAGTCCTTGTTGCCCCTTTAATGTTGACAGTTGCCTCACAACTGTTTTCTCAATAAAATGGATGGCTTAGTCAACCAGGCCACATACCTTAACTATTGCCAGTTTCTCCTTGAGTAATTTAATCTTGTCTTGTAGTTCACTCACATAATCCTCCTAGAAATAAATGAATGCATTATCTTTAAAACCCCTAAATTAATTCATGATCCAAGTTATGATTAAGTTTTCAAGTGATTTAAGTTTTTCTTAAATTAAAATGTCTAATATTTTCAGTAAGAAATAAAAGAGTGAATAAATACTAAGTTGTTAGGCCTAATTTTTTTAAGAACGATAACCTACTAGTTCATGATGTTCTGGCACATTACAATAGAGGCCATCATCTGTTACAGGGAGACCCTCAGTGGTCAAAGGTACTTGTTGCACAGTAGGAGGTGGAACCACTTGTTGAGTGACAGTAGTAGGTGGAGCTACATGTTGAGTGACAACAGCTGGTGGAGCTCCTTGCTGTGTGACAGCAGTGGTCAGAGCTACTTGGGATACAGCAGGGAATGGAGCTCCTTGTTGAATGATGGTAGGAACGACACTGGAATGTACTGAAGGAATGTGTGTTGTAGGAATCTGACTGAATGTTACAGGGATTTGAATATTTGGAATGTTTGGCATATGAGATGTCATTTGACTCATAGTAGCTGGCATTTGGACCATATTTGAAGTTGGTTGTCCCATATTTGAATTCACTTTTCCAGTATAAGTACCACCTGTTCCTGCAGGAATTTGATTACTATTTGAAGCCATATGTTCCATATTGGATGCCATGTGTCCTACATTTGCTGTTGCTTGCCCCATATCCTGTGGTATCGGGGCATTGGTTCCATCATATGGTCTATAAGGGCCATCTATACTTGCTGTTCCACTAAAGAAATTGCCTCCCTGTGAATTATAGGCTCTTCCATTCACTCCCACTTGGGATAAATCTCTTGTGGACGGAAGGTTGTATGGCACTTGATTGTTTTCATCAGGTTGTATTTGTACTGATGGATTAAAATGCACCTGCCTCTCTCTTGGAGCACCATTACCATGGTACCCATTTGGAACTCTGTTGTCATGGTTATCACTGCTTATAGAGGGAGCCACATGGTCACGAAGACGTGAAATATCATGACGTAATTGCTGAATCTCAGCATCCTTATCTGTCCCTGAAATTTAAAATTGTTATAAAACAATCTGATAAAAATAATGTTTTAAATAGATGTCACTGTTAAATAACACCTACAGCGAATTTTCTACACATTCACTAAAATATAAGAATATAAATGTTTAGTGTTTAAAACTTTCAATACTTTATGTGTACATTTATGTATAAACATTTTGTTCATTGAAAACAATTGAATCATGTTGGAATAATTACCTGGAGGTTTTCCAGTTAATCTGTGTAGAATATCATTGAGCCGTTCTATCTCCCCTCTCTGATCTTCTAACAAATCATGCAATCTTTCAATTTCTTCTTCTTTGGCAGCTGAAACATAAAATTCAAAAATAATTTAGTTTGTAAAAATATAAACATATTGGCCATCCAAGAACTTGAGCAAGATGGCCCTAGACCAACTAAACATTTATGTTTGTAAATTTCAAAACTGTATTTTACAAGCGTTTGACTTGACAAAGCACAAAATAGTAAAATCAGTGTTCCCAAATGTGTTCTCATTATTAAAACATAAGACAACAATAAATAGGAATTAGACAGATGTGATGCATACCAACAATTTGATTTGACCTTCCTGTTTGTGCCATTGTATCCTGCAAGTCGTGGTCTTTCTCCTTTAGGAGTTGAACAAGTTCTGTTATGTCATCTTGAGCTTTCTCAAGCTCCCCATGTAGCTCCCTAACTATCGGGTCTTCTTCAGGAGGGATCTGACCACCCCTTTGGTGGGGAATAGGCTGGGTTGCCCAGCTAGGAGGTCCACTAGGGTGGCCATTGCGGTAGGTTTGGCCTGAGTTGTGAGGGTAATCATATTGGTTGCTATGGTGATGTTGTGGATTGGCTTGTTGGGTTGCTTTGCTTTGTACTTGATTCCTGGAATTAGGGATTACACTTTTATTAAGCAAGGCATTTAAGTTGGAGACCATAAATTTATTACCACTTTTGCTTGTGACATAAAAAATGTTATTAGTGAGAACTTAAGTCAAATTGTAACTGTTTTGATCCAGTCACATATTCATAATTTTCCTGACCTTCTATCATAGGTACCATCATTAAAATTTTGGTTGCCATGGTGATCTCCGTCTCTATAGTGATCATCGACTGAAGGATGGCTAGCTTGTGTGCCATGAAAACTTCTAGCATTTTTTAACTCCTGTTCTTTTCTATCCAATTCTCTCTTTAATTTGAGCACCTCATTCTCTGCATTCATTGCCTTGAAAATCAATAGAAACAGTTTCATACAAGCTGTTAATTCCTTCCAAATTATACTGTATTTTCAAAAGCATGTTAGCAGAACCACTTTGGTCATTTTTACAAGTCAATTTATACAAGATCATTGCGTTTATGTTACTAGTTCTCATTTATGATCCATTCTGATTTTTTGATTGCACAGTTTTCCCCTTTGCATTTATTAATTTAAATACATGTAGATGTTGATCTATGAATGAAAATGAATTTGTTCACCTGTTTTGATGCCAATCTATCCTTCTCTTCAAGTCTATTTTTCAGATCTTCTAACTCATTCTGCAGTTGCTCATAAATGGCCTTCTCTTCAATAACATCTGAATCATCACTCAAAGCACCCCACTGTGAGCCTCCTATGCCACTCAGAGGTCCCCTTTGTGAGCCACCAATGCTGGTATGGTCACTACGAGGTGTAGGCTCAAGGAAGTGGTTAGGTAGACCAGTGGATTGGTTAGATGTCTGTTTTTGCATGGACTGTTTCAAGGCATCTTTTAGCTGAGATATTTCCTCTTGTAGTTGAGCTATTGTGTCATCATTGTCATTGCTTGAGTTGTGTTGAGGTTGTGTGGTGTTAGCTTGGTTCAATTTTGAGAGTTGTTCTCTCAATTTTCTTACTTCTGACTCGGCCTAAAACAGAAAACAGTCATGCTCAAACTAAAACATTTTTACATATACTTTTAATTTATGAAATGTTCTTACCATAAACAAGTTCAAATTTAATCTAATTTGATTTATTTCATTAAATGACAAAATACCTTTGATTTCTCTTTCTCAGCTTCCTTCACTTCTGCCTGGCTAGTATATATTTTGTCAACTAGCTGGCGCTGCATCTCCATTAAAGCTTCATTGACCTCATTTTGTTCTTCAAATATGGATTCATCTGGTGCCTGGAGAAAAATATGCAATCTTATTTATATGTTAGCCAAATAATGTATTCTGTTAATTTAAATCGACCTCTAATTTAATCTCAAAAGGTAAAACTAAAGCCACCTGATACAAAATTACCCCAACTCAATTAAATGCAGACCCAAATGGTGTTAAATTGTACAGAAATTGGGAAATCAGTGTATTTTGTCAATATAAATATGTAAATAAAATAAGGAAAAGAATCATTGCTTTGAATATGATTTAATTTTTAGTTGAACACACCTGGCCTGCATCAATGCTTTCCATAATGTCCTGTAGTTTCTGTTGAATATGTTGAGGCTGGGCTGACTTGTTGAGTAACTCTTGGATCTCATTGTCTCTTTCTTGTAACTGGGATTGAAGCTCTGTGTTAGCTGCCTGGAATTATTCAGAAGATAATGGAATTACTTTGACATAATGTAAGCACATAACTAAGGCAATGAAATAATCTTGTGTAGACTTATTGAATAACACTTGCATCTCAATGTTCTTTTCACTAGCTTTAGGTTAGCTGTCTGGAAAATCAAATTAGTATACAGAAGTTAATTAATTCATGATGTCACTGATATGACCACTTTCTCACTAACCTGCATGTGTTCAAGTTGCTCTTTTATTCTGTTACCCATCATATCTTTTCCAACATCCACCTGCTTTAGTTTATCAACAGCATGTGCTGCCCTCTTTTGTTCATTTTCAAGTTTATTTAACAAAACTTGTTTATCAGCCATTGATTTTTGTTCTGCTGCTTTAAGGCTATGTCTCAGAGCCTCAATTTCTTCTTGAGCTAATTTTATGTCACGATCAATGTTTGCATCAGCAGAGAGTGTTTCATCAAGCTGTGATTTCAGCATCTGATTTTCTTCATCTTTTGTATGTAAGGATACTTCAAGGTTATGCAATTTCTGAAAAGTATATTGAAATCCATTTCATTAAATACCTAGCATTTTATTATAACCACGAGGCTTGATGAATTGTCTTTGGATTATGCCTCCAATGTGTAGGTATAGTGTCCTAAAGGAAAATGACCAAAAATTGTTACAGAACACAGCAAAAAAAGAAAACATCATAAAAAGATATCTAAATAAAATGTTGTGGCACAGAGATAAATAAAAAAGAAAAAACATATTGGGCACGACAGGGATTCGAACCACCAAAAGCTGGTGCAGCAGTCCAGTGCCTATATCCATTGGAACACTGGAACAAGTTTAAGAGTACACCAGTCATAGATTGAAAAGGAAAAGACAGGAGCTACATCAATGTTATCAATGTTACAACTTATCATAGAAAAGGAAAAGACAGCAGATACATCAATGTTATCAATGTTACAACTACTTGGCTCTAATATGATCAAGAGTAATGTGCCCAGAATGAAAGATGGCAGTAGTAGTATATATTTATTTATACAGTTTATAATATACAGACCTCTTGTTCCATCTTTCTTTTCATGCATAAGTTTTTACATCTAACAATTTTCCTGACTTCACAGGGTAACCACACAGTGTATGTAGCCCCAAGGATCTGAGAGTTGCTGGTCAAAATGGAATTACGGACCAGCTGTAATGGTTTTTTCTATACCTACATGTAGTGAGAAAAGTAACCTGGTAATGACGAGTGGACCGGCCCTTAGGGCATACACTACAACCACATTGCAATAGAATGATATGGTTGATTTCAAACAACATAATTTCCAAAGTTCACAGTCCATTTTAGTTCACAGTCCATTTTTTGTACTCAGCATCATCAGAATGCAGGAAGAAACACGATGGATGATGTCTGGACCACAACGTTCAGAGGATGTGTAGTCAATCTGTGATCAAATATTATTAGGTTTAAAACATTAGACATACTTCTCTTAATTTCATATAACCTCCAGCCTCCGAATCCATAATGCCCATCTCCTTCTCAAGGTTATGTAATCTTTCCTCTAATGCATCCTTCTCTATTTGCAGTGAATTATATGCTTCATTCTGATTGGCTGCCCTCTGTTTTACATCATGGAGATATGTCTGGAGTCCCCCTACAACACCTTCTAGTTCAGTGCGCAAGGCATCATTCTGAGCAACCTGGCCTGGAACATGGATAACTGAAGGTGAATTAAAAGTGAAAAGTATACTACATTCAATTTATGCATCATTATGAGTTGTCAGGCCTGGAATACAGTAAAAATGAGAAAGATATAGATTAACATTCTGATTGTATTAAGGCATTTTGGCCTATATTGTTGACATAATCCCTATTCCCTCTTCTTACAATCTTCAATTCAATCAATTAGATTTGCCTGGAAATAGGCAAGATTTAAGTTTAGCACATTATAACTATTTAATGCCATCAAAATGACTCACAACAACGAAGCATCATATTTTTGTGAGACACCAGCAATGGGTCAGACTGATATTTTTTTCAAAAATGTTAACATACAGCCTGAAACTGATAAGAGGGGATACGTTAATTAATTGATCAATTTATCATTGCCTCACCTTATTCAAGAGGAGTCATATATCTTGAATTTGGGTGTATCTAGGCCAGTCTTAAAGGCACTCATTATACCTAAACATTTGACTTAATATCAATTTTGAGTATTTAAGAAAGATAAAGTTATTCTAGGAATCTTGCTATTATTTATCATCAGTGAGTCCTCTTCGTTAATTGTGACACTATTTTAACACCAAAATTGTTGTATATGTCTGTTGAGATTATAAAACACAAATGGAAACTTCCATCGACTCATAAATGACAAAATAGCCTTTATAACTTTAAAAATACATGGTGGATTATGTTCAACTGTTTATGGCCCACTTGTTTTTATCTGAAGAAAGACACATTTACAAATGGTAACTGCAGTGTAAAAACAACATTTTTATTTATTGCCCTGTTAAGATTTCAAAATCTTAAGAGGGTCCACACAAATTAAGAAATAAGTTATTTTGAACATTCAGATATAATTTTATGTAACTTTAAAAGTTGTTTACATTTACATTTAGTTGTATATCCTATATTTTCATGTTTTTGAGTTCTGTACATTTAAACACAAATTTTTAGATTACATATAACAGGGGTCCAACTATACACAAAAAAAACGTTAATTTGAATTTTAGACCTGCCAAACTTCAAATTTCCATTCAAAGCAAAACAAAAATGCCTTTCTGTTATACAGCTGCGTTTGGGTTCCTGGCTTTGAGAAGTGCTTGTCAGAGCTGGGGACCCAAACGCTGCTTAAACGCGGGACTCTGTACAATTAAACAATGCAACAACAGAAAAGCATTTTTGTTTTGCTAAATGAATGGAACAAGTTTCAAGAAAAACAGCGCAGTATGAGACTCACAATCCTTGATTTTCAAACATCTGGTCAGTCTAATATTCATTGATTAATGGTCGTGGTTGGCACCGTGTGATAATGTTTATTTCTTTATTTTCCCCATAATATGAAGAGCAAAAAAATATACAGAGGATTTAACTTTTATTATGCATACATAACAAAATTGTGATGTGAAATTATTCATAGATATGACATTAATGAAGACAGTATATCAAGGCACTTGAAGTCCACATTTGCAAGAAATAGCACTTTATTCTAATGAGAATTAAGCCTTTACTTTTACCAAATTGAAAAGTTGTTAATTTCACAAAACATACAGGGTGACCCTAAAGTGCATGGCTCTAATTTTTCCTAATCTTTTAGAAATGAAGTCTAGAAATGACATGTAATGTGTGTCTTGAATGCCTATGTTAACTACACATTGATAGTAAATATTAATACTAATACAACTACTAAATAGCAACCTTTATGCAGACATCATAAAAATCTTGAAACAAACCACAATTGAATTGAAACCTTCTTGGGGATTTAAATGATAACATGTCAAATAACACGATGTATGGTAATATAATTGGCTGATGGAAGTCACATGACCACTGTTTTGTGATGTGATTGGTCAAATCTGGTCATGTGATACTAGTCTCAGGCATTGATTAATGAGTTACTAAATCCTTGATATAATACAGCAATAAAACTTATCACTTCATAAAATTTCTCTATACGATGTTAAAATTCTTCATAGTACAGAAACTTCTTTCCAAAAATTCCAAAGGAATATTGAGAATGCCAAGTGTTTTAAATTAGTAATATAACGTTATAGGCCTCCATACCTGTTTTTACATTCATTATCAATCATTTTTTTTATCAAAAGTTCGTGTAAATATAAAGTCAGTACTTTTTCCAAGAAACTCGTTGATTTATATGCAAGGGCTGACATGAATGTAACATAAGTACCTTTATAATGTGATAATTTGTGTTACTATCTGAGAAACAAGGATAATAGAGCATATGGAGACAACAGCAATAGGTGTATAGCAAAGAACACAGAATTTAAATGAAAGAAACATAATTCTAATGATGATCTACAGAGCAGCACTGGTTTTGTTTCTAGGGGTATTCTATTTAGCCTGTATTATTGGTAAGCTTTTTTGTTAACCAATATGTGCCTCTTATCACATGTTATTATTACTAACATGGCTTGAACCTGCTGTATGGCTTTAATTGAGCAGTTATAGACTTGATTCTTAGACCATATTTGGAAAATAGTGCAAATTAGGGAATTTCATATTATGTTTCTCAATTCCCAATTGCCACTTCAGATGCATATCTTGATTACAAAAACTGATACACGATAGAACAGGTAAGATACCAGACAACAAATACAAAGGAAAGAGCTGGCAGGAAGATCAGACAATGCACATAAGAAACTAGGGATAGACCGGACAGGGATAGACCTTCTTGTCTTATCATAATCTGGAAGATGAAATACCAGAATGTGATTTGCCCCAACCCTGTTTATTCACTGTATGATTGTATATATGAAATTAAACCTACTGATTAAAAAATGATACATAATTTGATAAAATGAATATGATATATTCTCATTTTCAGGATATGTTCAAGCAGGGAATAAAGCACAAGTCCCAACCAGGGAATCGGCAGAAGATACACAAAGGAGATCTCGGGAGAGACCAGAATGCCCAACAGCCTGTCCAATGATCTATAATCCCATATGTGCATACGATGGGGAGAAATATGTAACATTTCCGAGTCAGTGTGATATGACAGTACATGCTTGCAAGTAAGTTTAATGCAAGAATATTGATAATCCTATGAATAAATTTTGTTAATTTCAAATAAGTCACACTTTGTTGTCTGAAAATTCAATGAGCAACAATACCTGCCTGATCTGCCGAACACTATCGAGATTGTTTTTCAAAGGTATTAAAGAAGTGTTCATATTTAAAGGTTTTATTTGACAAGAGATTTGTTCAAATGTATTTTTCTAACATTATCTTTTTCCAGAACTGGCAAACTGGTCACACCACAGTTTAGAGGACCTTGTGAGGAGAGAGAATTATAACACCACAGTTCAAGTTAGAAAGAACATTTTGAAATTATTTGTCAAGAGTACTTTAATTAAGTGAATAAAGTTTTCAAAAATATCAAATAATCAGTTTATTGCAAATCAATTAAATATTTGGCAATGTGGATAGAGGCAAAAAAACATTTTCATAAAATAAGTTTTTAAGGAGTCAGTTGTTATCAGCCAAACATAAACCAGATAAAAGCATCTGATTTCAATACATAAGTTTAAAAGAATTCAATACTACATGCTATTAACAAGTCAGATTGCAATCCAGTATCATTAGCTTAGAACAAAATGTAGTTTTCATTCATTATTTTAAGATAACTTACCATCACGTAACTGTTCTTCTATAGATTTCATATCATTTGTCTCTTGTGCTATATGGTTCAACATATCTTCAAGTTGTGCTTGGAGCTCTGTGTAATCTTGAGTTCTTGTGTCTATTTGGTGTTGTTTGTCTGACATTTCTTCTCTCATCACTCGCTAGAAAAATTCAATAAAACAACTTATTCCATGGAGATAATAATGTATCGAAGGGTGTTGCAACATTTCCTTGCTTAATAACACATAAAGTCAATACCATATTGTCCCATGATATAAAACCAAATTCTATGCTTCACAGTATAAGCAATATACATGTAAATCTACAAATTGAATTAAAGGGATAATAACCTCAAGTAAAAACTATGATTCATCAGAATAATAAGTCTTTAATCAAAAACATGACCCGAGTATGAGCGACGATCTTCTAATGCATCGGCAGATATATTGGAATTAATTTTGAGGTATTGGATCTTCACCTGGATTATGGAGGTCGCCATAACCTACCTATGAATATTCATGAGCGGCGTCACTACGACTCGACAAATTCCAGCATTTTGATTGGCCCGAAAAATGCGCATGCGCAATTGTAGCGGGGCGGCCACATTGAAAAATATTACGAACTTCTTAACAAGAAAATGGAGCAATTTGAAGATTTTGACGATGTATTTGGCATATTGACATACTATAATATGATATCACCTGTTCGAGAAAAACATGACCATGTTCACATCAATACTTACAATTCAAAGAATTAACTCCCAAAGTGCCAATCAAAACCAAAAACTGACCAACTCATGAACGTTGGTTACCGACATGACAGGAAAATGCGTTAATTTTATGTTGACAATCAATTATCTCTCGATCGTTTTGCTTGAAGATTAAACATATTCATATCTTTTATTTAATAAAATGACGAATGGCAGATATTAATTGGATTTTTGACACTCTGTTATAAATATAAGGCAGAACTGATAATGTATTCCCCGTCATGAATGATCGTGATCGATGACGCAAGGTTCGTCATTTTGATCACCATGGAGGTGTATTTCTGTTGTATTTACAGTAGACAACAAACAATTTAAAGGCTCGTAGACCTAGTATGTTATATTTATTTCACAAATATGGTATTAAGTTATAAAGCTATTAAAGACATACGATACGATACGATACAATTCAAAAGTTTTTTTCAAAATGGCGTCAACCTAACCGGCACATGGCCTGGTTCAGTTCTCTTTTTGGGACCGGATTGCTCGCCTTGAATCCGTTTTCTTTGGTTTCTTGTGAGAGAATATGTATGGTATGGCAACTGCCCGAACGACAGTGAGATTCCATTGTCGGTAACGACAGTGTTACATGTATTTCTGTTGCCGATAGCAAACTGTCGTGGGTAAACCCGGAAGTAAAATTGTGTTCAATCTACGCCGTTTGAGGAGAAAATCAGCCAAAACAACTTGCCCCGCGTGTCTAGAACCATCATCACTGAAGCGTCTATATAATCAATACTTACTTGAAATATCCTGACATGGAACTAAATAAACCACTCTAACTTTAGTTGTTATTCATTTTTATTCACCAATCTATTTTGAAGAGCTTTTGAAGAGCGATTTCAGCATTTGAGGCAATCTGTGCCAGTTCCTCTTGATTCGGAATCTAGTTCATGCGTATTAGAATGAATAATTTGATTGGCTTAATTCCAAAAACACATGCGCATTTGTAAATTATTTCAAACTAATAGGCATGCGCGAAGAGTTGAAGCAAAAACGAAACTGCTGCAGATTACCCTACTTATTTGATGGCGGAATTGGAAAATTCTTTATTCAAAATGTTTTCCCGTATTGGGGAGAAAAAACACAACCCCAAGATAGATATAGGACGACAAACAAGACAATAATAAGTAGGAATCTTTGATTGTTAAAAGCCGTGCATGAAACTTTTCAGAAAATATTGTAAGTGACACTGTTTTAAATGTGTTCTATTCCCCGGGGATTCGGTCCACGACAACGACAGCTGGTTTTAACTGTCGAAAGATTTTAATTTTACTGTCACCATCCGACTGTGTACTGTCGTTCAGGCATTTCTTTTAAAGTCCTTATCCCAAGTCTAGCTCTATCAGTGGAAATATTTGAACAATTTACCACACAACACATAGGCATTTTCCTTTGTTGTGAATGCTTTCAAGATGGCGGCTCAGGTCGCAGAAACGTCACACTTCCGGTCTACATCCGGATCTCTGAGTGAAATATGGCGAGCCCCGTCCAACAGACAACTGGGTCACTGGGTCAATTTATGATTTTTATTTTCAATATTATACAAAAACTAACACATAACAAGATTTTCAACTTATTGCTTTTTATTCAGTAGTATTGTAACTACATATAATGATGATTAGAATACCTGACATTATTTCCGCTTTAATCTAGAGTTTTTTTGTCGGATTGATGTTTTTACAAATGTTCCACTTTTTGGGCCACTCTGTACATAAATCAATTTTATATCTTTCAACTATATCCTGTTAAACATTTTAATTATACTGTTTACCAGCTTGGCTTACTTGATTTAAATTTTGAAGACACATTGTAAATTCAAGAGTATATGCACCTAAATTTAAAACAATTTATAAAGAATTACAACTTAATGATATGCAAGTTTAAAATGTTCTAGCTAGCTTGTGATAAGCCATACACCCCCTGGGGTGTCTTTATCATTATTATGTAAATATGTTAATATGATTTTAAGAAATAAATAAAAAAATAAAAAAAAGACAATCATCACTACAAAAATTAAGAAAAAATGTGTGCTTTATTTATTCACTTACATAGAGGGACCCCTGACTGTCAGTTCTCTGCATACGACCTCTTAGTTCTGCCACATCAGCTTTGTTCTGTTGAATGTCTCCCTGGGCAGTCAGCATTCCCTCTTCTATCTGGGCAGAGTTGTCTCGCAGAGTACTGATCTAAAAGCAGGAATCAAACCTATAAATTTAACATCAAAGGAGGCAATGTGACTTTTAAATTAGTTATAGTGAATCCATGATTCAAAGCAGATTGCAAAAATGTGATATCAAATTAATTTTTTGGGATATGAGTGAGATTCTAGTGACTTACTACCTCTACTTATACAAGTTCATAATGGTTACATATTCTTTTGTCTAAAAACAAGTAAATGGTTCACTAAATTACTGAACAATGGTTTCAACATGTGTCTCTTACCATTTGCATTTTTGATGCAAGTGTGTTCCTAAGCTCTCCTTTATCAGTTTCTGTGAGAGGAGCTCTCCTTGGAGAGAGGCTGGAAAGTTTCTGGAGCTCTTCAGTAGCTTGAATGAGTTGTGACTGGGTGCCTTCTAGCTCACCTTGTAGCTTGACCAGCTTCTCTTGGGCTAAAGTACGAGAAGATCAAAAAAAAAGGTGATATGAATTGGATCATTTAATACAGATCACCAACTTACATAAAACAGGGAACATTAAAGGGTCATACCATTAGAAACAGATCCTACAACGAAGATTAAAATGGGTTAAGTGGAGACTTCAATACGATATTGTAAATCTTTTTCTTTCACATTATGAATGCAGATATACTAAGCCTCAATACAAGTATATCAAATTTCACAACTGTTTTGTTACCTCTCTCGATACTTCTGTATTTATCAGCCAACTCTGCATCCATTGTTTGTTTCAAAGTCTCACGTACATCAGGGTGTATGGGGGATGCCTTATATGAAAAAATGTTTTAATATTATATGCATCAACAATGTTTCAAGACAAATTCTCTTTGCCTGGAAATGGTTAAAAATGTAATAAGAATTGTTAATAAAGATGACCATAACTAATCACCAACTGCTGATTGCAATGTGTAAGTCATAAAAATTATGGCACCATTTCCTGGTGGTCACACATAATATTTTGGCAAATTCAAAATGAAATGTAATTACAGTGAAATTTTGTAAAATCATTGGGATTTACTTGATCCTAATATTCTTTAAACTAAGGCATTTCTACAGGGTGGGCAATAAAAAATAGGACATTGCATCATTCTTAAAAGTTTCTTAAGATCAGATGGATAAACCATGTGTAGCAATACCACAAGATGTCATTATTCATATTTCAAATTTTTTGAATGTTGATGATGATTTGAGTTTGTGATGTCATAATTCACTAAAAACAGATTTTGTTAATTAAAAATGAAGAAATCAGAAAAAGAAGTCTTTTATGTCAACCTATATCAGAAATTATAGCCCTCAATCTATAAAACATTTAGAATTTATATCATTCATGCTTTCTTTAGACCTTTGCTACTTTTTATAAGTTATTTTATCCTCAATATGTTTTAATTTATTTTTCTTAAAATAGTCCCATTTAGAACCAAAAACCCTGGTCTTTAGGCTTTTTCCAGAATTCTCATGATGTGTCAGATAAATTCCTCAAATTACATATCAAAAAGTAGCAATATTAAAAAAAGCTGTTTTAAACATATAGAAGAGTACCAAGGCTACAAATAAAAATAAGGCATTAACATGACAAAATGTCACCACCTATTTGCTCAGAATATTGAGTTTGATCTTTGTATCTATTATAAGATATTCATATGCATACAAGTACTAAACTCTACCTGAGGTGACTGTATGGAGAGTGATCCATTAACTGCCCTTCCTCCCTCTGCACCCTCTGCCTGTCTCCCACTGGACTCAAGATAACTTGCACCTGGAAATAAAATATAAGTAAAAATATATAATTTAATGAATATACAATTTTGAAAGTAAGATATAAGTAATAAAAATGAGAGGTATGTTGGTGTTACTTATGACTATTACATTGTTTTCCTTATGACAGGCTGCGAGCATAGGTGTTATTTTCTGGCTGTATTTTGAACTATTTGGTATTACAGGGTGTCAATTTGCGCCGAAACCCCCCAAAAAGCCAATACCGGGGAAAGTACCCTTACAAACTATATATAAAAAACGCTCATTTAATTCTGAATGAGTGAACTGAACTGAACCTGTGGATACAACAATATGGACTACCTTGTACTACTCTCTCTGAACTTGATTTACAGTAACAACAATTACTGAGCATGAAGTGTATATTTCAACTCAGTGTTTCTCAGATGATTATTTTCAAACATAAACTAGACAAACAAATGTAGTAGCTTTAAACAATGTGAAATATGAATATGTACTTAATATGCGAATATAATGCAGTCATGAAGTAATAATAAATTATTGGTAGATAAAAAAAACATCTGAAGTGCAGTATTACAGAAAGACCATATTTCAAACATAACTGTCTTATCTACACATGTTGGCAGATACATCTGAGTAGAACTACAAACTTTTAAGTATTATACAAACATAACATTGTTTGTTCAACACTGAACTTTGTTATCTGACATGTAAAACACATGAAGAAAAGTTAAACATACAAGATGTGTCAAGTTGTATGTCTCCTTGATAAGTTTATTGATAAGCACTACCAGCCTTCTAACCAGTAAGGTTAATTACATCCAGTGTTGATTTATACTTCGGAACATTTTTAACACAGTGTTTGAAATAGGATGTTTGGGATGGCAACATTCCCCATATAGACATTGAAAATGGCTGATTATACAGATCAGGTAGAGAGGGATATTAAAGATGCAATTGATAGGAAAGATGAACATCAGCTGAGATTGATCCTCCAGAGAACTTCCAAGTGCCATAAAAACACACTTGTCTGGGCATTAAGGAAAAATAAGAATCTTAGTAAAGAGACATTAGACTTATTGATAGAAAAAGGGGCAGATGTTAATGCTTTTGACAATGATTGGACTGCATTGATGCATGCTTGTGATACTGGCTCTCTGGAATATACACAGTGGTTAACAGAGCGTGGAGCAGATGTCAATGCTAAGGACAATTCTTATGGTTGGACTGCATTGATGCATGCTTGTAAGTCTGGCTCTCTGGAATGTACAAAGTGGTTAACAGAGCATGGTGCAGATGTCAATGCTAAGGACAATAATGGTTTGACTGCATTGATGTCTACTTGTAAGTCTGGCTCTCTGGAATGTACACAGTGGTTAACAGAGCATGGAGCAGATGTCAATGCTAAGGACAATAATGGTTGGTCTGCATTGATGCATGCTTGTGAGTCTGGCTCACTGAAATGTACTCAGTGGTTAACAGAGCATGGAGCAGTTGTCAATGTCAAACAGAAAGATGGTAAAACTGAACTGATGATTGCAATTGAGAAGAGGTCTCTTGAATGGATAAAGATGTTCACAGACCATGGAGCAGATGTAAATACCATAAGCACTGATGGTCAAACTGCACTGATGCGTGCTTGTATGGATGGATCTCTAGAATTTACAAAGTTTTTAACTGATCATGATTCAGATGTCAAGGCCAAGGACTATAATGGTCGAACTGCATTAATGTTTGCTTGCAAGTCTGGCTCTCTGGAATGTACAAAGTTATTAACACAGCACGGTGCAGATGTCAATGAAATGAACAATGATGGTTGGACTGCATTGATGTTTGCCTGTGAATCTAGATCTCTGAAATGTACACAGTGGTTAACAGAGGTTGGTGCAGATATCAATGCTAGGAACAAGTATGGTTGGTCTGCTTTGATGTATTCTTCTAAGAATGGGTCTCTGGAATGCACAAAGTGGTTAAAAGATCATGGTGCAGATGTCAATGATAGGAACAAGCATGATAGGTCTGCATTGATGTACGCTAGTAAGTCTGGCTCTCTGGAATTAACTCAGTGGTTAGCGGAAAATTGTGCTGATGTCAATGCTAGGGACAATAAAGGTTTGACTGCATTGATGTATGCTTGTAAGTCTAGCTCTCTGGAATGTACACAGTGGTTAACAGAGCATGGAGCAGATGTCAATGCTAGGAACTATAATGGTTGGACTGCATTGATGTATGCTTGTAAGTCTGGCTCTCTGGAATATACAAAATGGTTCACAGAGCATGGTGCAGATGTCAATGCTAAGGACAATAATGGTTGGACTGCATTGATGTATGCTTGTAGGTCTGGCTCTCTGGAATGTACAAAGTGGTTAACAGAGTATGGTGCAGATGTCAATGCTAGGAGCACTTATGGTTGGACTGCATTGATGTCTGCTTGTAAGTCTGGCTCTCTGGAATGTAAACAGTGGTTAACAGAGCATGGTGCAGATGTCAATGCTAAGGATAATAATGGTTGGACTGCATTGATGTATACCTGTGAGTCTGGCTCTCTTAAATGTACACAGTGGTTAACAGAGCATGGTGCAGATGTCAAGGTCAAACACAAAGATGGCAAAACTGAACTAATGATTGCTATTGAAAGGAGGTCTCTGGAATGGTTAAAGATGTTCACAGACCATGGTGCAGATGTCAATACCAGAAGCACTGATGGTATAACTGCATTGATGCGTGCTTGTGAGTCTGGCTCTCTTGAATATACACAGTGGTTAACAGAGCGTGGAGCAGATGTCAATGCTAAGGACAGTTCTTATGGTTGGACTGCATTGATGCATGCTTGTAGGTCTGGCTCTCTGGAATGTACAAAGTGGTTAACAGAGCATGGTGCAGATGTCAATGCTAAAGACAATAATGGTTTGACTGCATTGATGTATGCTTGTAAGTCTGGCTCTCTTGAATGTACAAAATGGTTAACAGAGCATGGTGCAGATATCAATGCTAAGGACAATAATGGTTGTACTGCATTGATGTATGCTTGTAAGTCTGACTCTCTGGAATGTACACAGTGGTTAACAGAGCATGGAGCAGATGTCAATGTCAAACACAAAGATGGCAAAACTGAACTGATGATTGCTATTGTGAAGAAGAGGTCTCTGGAATGGATAAAGATGTTCACAGACCATGGTGCAGATGTCAATACCAGAAGCACTGATGGTAAAACTGCATTAATGCGCGCTTGTGAGTCTGGCTCTCTGGAATATACACAGTGTTTAACAGAGCATGGAGCAGATGTCAATGTCAAACACAAAGACGGTAAAACTGAACTGATGATTGCTATTGAGGAGAAGAGGTCTCTGGAATTGATAAAGATGTTGACAGACCATGGTGCAGATGTAAATACCAGAAGCACTGATGGTAAAACTGCATTGATGCGTGCTTGTGAGTCTGGCTCTCTGGAATATACACAGTGGTTAACAGAGCATGGAGCAGATGTCAATGCTAAGGACAATGATGGTTGGTCTGCATTGATGCATGCTTGTGAGTCTGGCTCGCTGAAATGTACTCAGTGGTTAACAGAGCATGGAGCAGATGTCAATGCTAAGGACAATGATGGTTGGTCTGCATTGATGCATGCTTGTGAGTCTGGCTCGCTGAAATGTACTCAGTGGTTAGCAGAGCATGGAGCAGATGTCAATGTCAAACACAAAGATGGCAAAACTGAACTAATGATTGCTATTGTGAAGAAGAGGTCTCTGGAATGGATAAATATGTTTACAGACCATGGTGCAGATGTCAATACCAGAAGCACTGATGGTAAAACTGCATTAATGAGCGCTTGTGAGTCTGGCTCTCTGGAATATACACAGTGTTTAACAGAGCATGGAGCAGATGTCAATGTCAAACACAAAGATGGCAAAACTGAACTGATGATTGCCATTGAGAAGAAGAGGTCTCTGGAATGGATAAAGATGTTAACAGACCATGGTGCAGATGTCAATGCTAAGGACAATAATGGTTGGACTGCATTGATGTATGCTTGTAAGTCTGGCTCTCTGGAATGTACAAAGTGGTTAGCAGAGCATGGTGCAGATGTCAATGTCAAACACAAAGATGGCAAAACTGAACTAATGATTGCTATTCAGAAGAAGAGGTCTCTGGAATGGATAAAGATGTTCACAAACCAAGGTGCAGATGTCAATGCTGCAACTGATTCAGGCAGTACAGCACTCACATACATTAAAAGATTCACCCCTTATTGTAGGGAACAATACAGCCTTCTGACCAGATTAGGTGCTAAAGATGATGACTACAAACATCTCATGTCACTTAACAGCAATGCAACTGATGCTCAACAACATGCAGCTGAAACAAAACTAAATGCAAGTAAAGCTAAATGGAATCTGAGTTTAAAGTGTCAGACAAGGCGGTGTCTTTATCAGACAAGCGTATCGAATAGTTTTTCGTACAAAAACACAATTAAGAGGTTGATTCATGACAGGCATATACCCCATGAATTAGAGACAATTCTGTTGTTTGAGAATCCGGATGACAAGTGTGAGATAACAGCTATACTACGAGAACTGCATGCCAGCCATGAGGTTGAGAGAGCACTGATCAAATACAGAACAGAACAAATGAGCTCAGAAAATTTAGCATTGAGGGAACCATTTGAGAAACTTGAACCACATCATCGGAAACTACTAAAATGGTAAATAATACACTGGGCGATTGTCAATAAGGCTGCTTACCCCCCCCCTCACCTACTATATAGCACATATTTGTACATCAGTTTAAAGCTATTTGCATAAAATTGAATGAACTTGTTGGACTCATGGTATGGTTTCTCACATTAGTCAATCAAACATTAACCCAGTATTATATAATGACCTAACATTATCTTAATATTACTCCAAAATCAGTCCTGATATCTATCTTATATCACCCAAGTGTTCTGAATGCAATATCAATCAAATATCACCGCATATCAACCAAATATTAGTTGACTTTTACAATAATCACTCAATTTTTGTCATATAGCAGCCTAACACTATTCTGATATGACAGCCCAAATATCTACATATTACAATTTATGCAATGTCACCCCAATAATGACCCGATAGAACCCATATATTGCTCTATTATTATCCCAATATCACTCCAATAATTTCAGCCACAAAATCTACCAAATATCACAAAATATTCTCAGTGCAACATGACCACAAAAACGACGTAATAGAACCCCTATATTGATCTAATAGTATCGCAATATACTCCAATATCAGCCTTGATATCAACCCGAATCATCATGAATTGAATATCAATGGCAATACCCTCTTCCAATATCAGCGAAAAATGATCCCAATATCAGGGGTCTAGATAAGCTGAAAAAATTATTAGCCAATGTGGCTAATATTTTCTAAAAAATATTAGCCACACTGAAAAATTATTAGCCAAAATATTTTTTATCAAATGACATAAAAAGCGTACTTCAAACAAATTTCACATGTCATCGTCCTGCTAACACTATTGCATGTCAACCAAGGCTTCCCCGCCTTCCAATCTCTGGTCGGAAAGACCAATCCGGGACCTCAATGGTCCCAGAAAGTGCAAGAAGAAATGCTTACATGTAGGCTAGTCTACCACCTTCGTTTGTCCGAATTCTCACCGGTTTTCGAATATAATACGTAATTGTGATGTTTTAATCGATGTAAGCATATTCCTTACATCTTTCTTTATCTGGGTGAGAAATAACAAGCTATGGTATTGGTTAATACGCCAGAAATCACCATATTATTCTTCGAAGTCTCTTAAGAAAATTTTGAATTTAGCATGACATGAATGCAACAGAAAAACGAACGAAACAGGTTTGCAAATATGAGCTTCTGTTAAATTTGCATTGACCCGAAAACAAGTTGTGGCGTCTCAACTGATTCATTAAAATACCGAACGCAACACATTTTATGAAGCTGCCCTGTGTTATTTTCCATTGAAACAAAAATAATTGTGGCTTCTCATGGCTGAAATTACGAAAATACGAAAGTTGAAAACGGAGAATTTCCTCGATAAATGGATGATTTATCTGTTTCGAAGGTAGGTTCAGTATAAAGATATTCGCCAACCTTGCGAATATTTAGATCAATATCTTCGCCAGGTGCTAAAAATATTCGCAATTGGCGAATGGCGACAGCTTATCTAGACGTCTGCCAATATTGGCCTCGTGTCATATCATCCAATATTATCCCAATATCAATCTAATATCAACTGAATAATGACATAATACAGGGTGTGCCATAAAATGTTGCAAATGTATCATAACATTGAGGTATTGACATAAAATTTGAAAAAGTTGCAAAATTTTTTGGCACACCCTGTATTATCACAATATCACTCCAAGTTCAATGTCCATATCAGCCCAAGAGAACTCAAATGTACTCTGAATGTAATGTTACACATCAATCATCCAGTTCACCTGTATATCACTGTCATTTGAAGAATGTAATATTTTCTTTAACTTTATTGTAATTTTACTGTTAATAAAAATTCTATGTTAGATGTAGGTTCGTCCCTAAAAGGGCATCAGTACAAATAATTCCTATTATATATTATCAGCCCAATGTGACCTAAATACTTGCCTAACATTATCACAATATTATTCTTCACGCTAAATCTTATATATATTTTTTCAAATATGGATAAAGAACTACATGTAATTTGCTTTCTGCATAATGCAGTATATTTGGCCATTTTGAATCAACAATCAACAACTAGAAAAAATTGGCAAATCAACAGATCAGCAAATCCCAACAAACAAACAGTATAATATAGCCATACATGATATCTCCTAATAATTTAAAATTCTCATAAGGGTTGATCCTTTTGGATTTCAGATATACAAATAAAATAAATGATATGATAATTGTGATCTTCTCAAAAAATATTATCTTCTAATATAGCCATACTTTGAAGAAATCTTTATCTACTACAAATTCCAACATCAGGTGGCCATTTTAGAATTTCTGAGGCTTGAATCCAAAAAATGATACAATATTTGAAATCTTATCAAATTTTTTTTATTTGAGTATAACTATATAATAAAGTTAATAAACATAAACTTCTAAAAGATCTCAAAATTAACAAAAATCTTGTTTTCTCTACCCCCCCCCCTCTAATTATTTTGGTTGAAAATCGGAAACTACATTTTTGCAAAAAATATCGCCATTTGTTAAGTGAAAAAGGTTTTGCACAAAACTATTCACCAATATACATAATCATTCTGCCAAATATGAAGAAAATTCATCATCTACTAGTATCACAATATCCAAACTGAACTTCATTTGTTGGGATAAAAATGGCTTTCTATGAAATTCTAAAATAGACATGTTTAGTCTCAATTAACATTCATGCAAGTAAAGAAGAACTTACTTGGGTGGAGACTTATTAAGCTATATATGTGAAAACACTCAAAGAACTACTTACTATCTCCTACTATCTACTATTTCACATGGTTTGGCATTTATAGAAGACAATGTCATCAAATAAATTAATTTTAAGTATATTGGTATATGTAGTTCATATTCAATGAATTTCCTAATAAATGATGAGAGTATAGTTAATGGTAATAAACTACGGTAAACAGGTAAATGTCACCCAAAAGGTCAAATATCAACATTAGACTTGTACAATGAGTGTCCTTGAGTGAACCTACAATTTTTAGGAAAACACATAAAACATTCATAACAAAATTATGTGATGAACAATTTCTGGGATTTATTTGTAGTGTTTCCATATTTTTTTACACTGACTTACTTTTGATTTGACATAAAAAGTTTCATAAGAAATATTCATGAACATCTGAGTTCAGGGTGCCAGCAGTATGTCTCAACTTTCCATCTGCTATGCTTCCAGGATTCCTGTGGTGAAGTTCTATGGTATGGGAGAAGATGGTCTTTACTCAATACATATTATTGATGGATATGTCAACAAGACATCTGCATTCATAGAAAGAATGATGCCAGGATGCAAGTTCCACTCTGTCCCCTGGATGGAGGATGAATCTATACAGTTGCTTGGATGTGCAGGTGGACCTCTACATAGCAGAGAGCGTGACACTGCTGATGAAGGTATGCTTGATGATTTTGTGGAAAACCCAATGGGGACAATTGGGGGACTTGTTGCTTTGTCCTACTACGATGATGATGATGATGATGATGATGATGATGATGATGATGATGATGATGATGATGATGATGATGATGATGATGATGATGATGATGATGATGATGATGATAGTATATTAAGTATTGATTCACTCAATGAAGAAATTGTGAGTCAAGATGAGATGTATATTCTCACAGCCAACCATGTGGTTGAACAACGCATTCCCAATGCTGAATATATTTCTTGGTCCAAGGAAGATCAAAGTGATAAACATGTGATTGGTAGAGAGGTTCCATACAGAATACCATTGAGAATGGACAGTGATGAACATAATAACAATGCAGATCATGATGATGATGAGGAGAAAGGCAGGTTAACTGTCTGGAAGGATAACAGCACAAGCCAAGATGAGGAAATGATAGTGAATTGTACGTATGATGCTGTTATGAATGATAAGGATATTGATGAGGAGGAGGAAGAACAACAATATGATATTGCCTGTATCAGAGTGGATGATCAACATGATCCTGCCTGTAGCAAAATGAATGAGCAGTGTAAGAACATAAAATATCAATATAATGATTGTGATAATTGTTGTAAATGGTGGTATAGAGAGCCTAAAGCCGGCTTAAATGCAGTAAAGCTAGGACTGCCCCTCAATCAAGCAAAAGGCAAGATTTTGAAAGTAGATGCAGCAGGTGAAATCAAAGTTGGCAAGAAGACTGCATGGGTAGAGAACATGGTAGCTATCAGTTCAGAGACGCCAGATGCTGACACTGCATACACACAACCAGGAGACAGTGGAACCATAGTATGTGATACAGGAACAGAATGGTTTAGATGTTATCCAAATTGTTTCATGATATTTGCAGGATGGGATAAAGCAAATATATACAATACATGGAACAAACCAGTGTCTCTAGCATTCTCACTGCCTGAAGCCCTGACAAAGCTAGCTGAACAAGTCCCTGGAAATGATGAGGCATCAAAGAAGAAATTTAAGTTGTCTTGCTGTAAGAAAGTATTTGAACAAATACAGGAGGAATAGCAGAGTGTCCAAAAGAGGAAGTAGAGTATTTAAGTGGAGAAGTAGAATGTTCAAATCAAGAAGCAGAATGTTCAAACAAAGAAGTAGAAAGTCCTAAAGAAAAGGGAGAATGTTCGAAAGAAGGAAACTGTTCAAAACAAGAACCAGAATGTTCAAAAGAAGCAGCAACATGTTCAAAGGAAGAAGCAGAATGTTCCAAAGAAGAAACAGAATGGCTAAATGAAAAAGAAGAATGTTCAAAAGAAGAAGCAACATGTTCAAAGTAAGAAGCAAAATGTTCAAAAGAAGAAGAATGTCTAAAGAAACAGTAAATCCAAAAGAAGAATGATTAAAAAGCTTTTCCACAAGAAGACATTTGGATACACACTAATTTAACTTACATTTGGATTTGAATGACTATAGAAAGAGAGTATTTGGACAAATAGATGTATAGTGTATCATAAACAGGATACATACATACATACATGTATTCCATACCTGATGAGGTTTCAGGGACATATCAACCGGGAATATATTCCATATCCGGGCAAATATTTTTCGTATGTCCCGCTCCAACGGAGCTCCGGGACATATAAATCGTATGTCCCGCTCAAAAAAAATTTTTTTTTAATTTTAAAAATAAATTCGGGAAAAAAATTATGTAAAAAAATTTGAAAAAAAATTGTGGAAAAAAATTATGTAAAAAAATTTGAAAAAATGTTGAAAAAAAATTTTGAAAAAAATTTTGAAAAAAAATTCTGAAAAGAAATTATGCAAAAAAATGTGAAAAAAAATTAGAAAAAAAATTTTGGAAATTTATTTTTTCATTTTTGAAAAAAATTGAAAACAAATTTGGAAAAATTTGATTTTTTTTGAAAATGATAACATATTTTGCAAGTAAACACACCAGAGCATGTGGGATACATGCTCATTATTTCAAACCTCATCAGGTATGGAATACAACAGTTATGCACGGTCGGTTTGGATACAGGAAATATCTCTTGGGATATACAATATATCTTCCCTTGGTCCCTTCGGTCCCTCGGGAAGATATATTGTATATCCCTCGGGATATTCCCTGTATCCAAAACCTCCCAGTGCATAACCCCTATACATCCTACAGGGCATCTCAAAATAAATTGCACCAAAACATGAAATAAATGAAGGAATATTCTTGAAATGTTGAGATGCTCTGACAAATAACTGATTTATCATAGACATCTGAAAGGTTCATTAAGTAACTTTGTCAGTCTGTCTTGTTTTAGAGAAATCCCTGTTTTAGTACCATCATCCATTTTTCCATGGTTGATGTCCCCAAAAAATGTACCGAGACAAACATAGAACTCTGTGAGTGATGAGAGAATATTCTTGACACTCAAACTGACAATTTGATTACTTTATGACATGTATTATTGCCGAGGCTGCATATGCGCCAATTGCCAAATGTAAAACAAAAACAGCAACTCAACATTAGGAATCAATTGAAGTGTAGTATATTGTTGAGGATTTTAATGGGCGATAATAGAGAAATAATAAGTATCAACTTATGTATTTGGACAAGATTGTCAAAAATAAGGGCTGTAGGTTATGTTTTTTTATTTACCATTATAAGCTTTACGTAAAAATGTTTGCATAAAAATGTCAATCAGATTATAATCAGCACTTTACTAATTGTTAAACTTTTATATACTATACTTAGAGGTTATGTCACTATCGTGGCATATATGCCCGAGGTCTCAGTGATATATGGCCCGACCTTGGGAGGGACATTGATCTCAGAGAACCGAGGGCATAAGTGCCACAGTAGTGACATAAACGATTTATAACATACCTATGATGATGTAAACAGGTCAGAGAGTACCGTTTTCTATAGAATTGACAAACAAATGGTTTGAAAATGATTGAAATGAGTTTAGAAAAATTGCTCGCCAGTTTTATCTTCGACTGATTGGTTATGACGTCAGTGCCTTGACCAATCAGAAAGTTAGCGGGCGCAGGCTTTTCAAAACTTATATTGGCCCGCTGTCTTGTGTACACTTTGCACTATACATCATCATAGGTATGTTATAAATAATATTAGCATATTTACTGTACTGGCATGTAGCTTATATTATAGGGTTTGGGTCACTTTTTGTATTTATAGGGTGTTCAATAAGCATTGCTAAAATGTTGTGACAGTGATATTTATGTCTCCATAAAATCAAATCATGGATACTTGCCTCGATTGAGGAGGCACGAAATTTTTAGCAAAATGTGACAGACATGATAAAATTATAAAATACTGCAACCTTAATGAACTGTATTTCTGTATTCTGAGTCTTCATTTAATTTAATGTGTTTGTAAATCATTTCATCCTTTTTCTATATTTTTCACATTTTGCTTTGAGAGGATCGAAATGTGGTCAAGTTTTTGTTTCAAGCTAGTTTTACAAGTATGTTTCAAGGATTTCGCAATAAAATATCGCAAGTGACATATGTATAGTGCTTGTTTTGATTTTTGAAGCATTCTTATTATTTGTTTAAAATAATTTTCAAAGCAATTCAGCCATTTCATTTATAAGTACTTGCCTGTCAGTGTATACAGGGCTTTAGAAACAATAACTGGGAAAAATAAGGCAATATGTAAAAAATAACCCAACATATTTGAAAAATACTTATTGAATACCCTACTTCTCTGTGTTGCTCTTTGTGCATTATTTGCTTTTATATATCTTATATGAATGAGTGTAGTCATAAAGAAAGGAGTCACTTGAAACGTAAAAGGAATCTTTAACACATAAAAAGGGTTTAACCACATAAAAGTGTTTTATCACATTAAAGGAGTCTTTTACATTTCACTTTTTATCTATTTAATAGATACTAGTAAATCATTGGCAATGTCTCCAAAAATGAACTGAGACAAACATAAAACTCTGTGAGTGATAAGAGAATATTCTTGACAATCCGACTGACAGTTTGATTACTTTATGACATGTATTATTGCCGAGGCTGCATATGCGCCAATTGCCAAATGTGAAACAGAAACTGCAACTCAACATTGGGAAGCGATTGAAGTGTAGTATATCATTGAGAATTTCAATGGGCGATAATAGAGGATTCGAACATGATTGTATTCACGCCGTCTATAAACTGTAAACAAAGTCAATGCTTCAGCTGGGTTATATTCAAGATCAATACCCCAGTTAATAGTGTAATGTGTGACGTCATAACGGTGGGTCGTAGTTATGACGGACCATGATGAATATTCGAAACAATTTGGTGAGTTTTCATGTTCGAATCATAATATAGACCTCAGAGCAGGGGTAATATCGTCGAATACACCAATTAGGGCTAGGCACAAAAGCTTTCAAACCCCTCACTCCCTTTAGTCGTTCGGGGTACAAAAAACATTTGTGCCTAGCCCTGCGGGGTGTATTCGACGATATTACCCCTGCTTTTCGGTCTATATTTCTTAAATAATGAGTATCAACTCATGTACTTGGACAAGACTGTCAAAAATAAGGGCTGTAGGTTATGTTATGTTATTCTATTTACCATTATAAGCTTTATTATCTCCTTAATCATGTAAATATGTTTGCATAAAAATGTCAATCAGATTATTATCATGCAGCACTTTATTTATTGTTAAACTGTTATATACTATACCATATTAGCATATTACTGTACTGGCATGTAGCTTATATTATAGGGTGTGGGTCACTTTTTGTATTTATAGGGTGTTCAATAAGTATTGCTAAAATGTTGTGACATTGATATTCATGTTTCCATAAAACAAAATCATGGATACTTACCTCAAATGAAGAGGCAGAAATAGTTTACCAAAAAAGTGACAGATGTGATATAATTATAAAAATGCTGCGACCTTACGCATTGTTTGTAGTATGAGCTGCGTTTTTTCGAGTCTTCATTTATTTCAATGTGTTTGTAAATCATTCCGATTTTTTGCTTTTTTTTCACACTTAGCCTTTGGAGGACCAAAATGTGGTCAAGTTTTTGTTTCAAACTAGTTTTACACATATGTTTCAAGGATTTCACCTCAGATGAGAAGATTGCAATTAATATGTATAGTGCATGTTTGGATTTTTGAAGCATTCTTATTAATTTGTTTAAAATAATTTTTCAAGCAATTCGGCCGTTTCATTTATAATTATTTGCTTGTCAGTGTATACAGGGCTTTAGAAACAAAAACTAGGAAAAATAAGGCAATATGTAAAACATAACCCAACATATTTGAAAAATACTTATTGAATACCCTACTTCTCTGTGTTGCTCTTTGTGCATTATTTGCTTTTCTATTTCTAATCTTATAGAAATGAGACTAGTCATGTGGAAAGGAGTCATAAAGATAGAGACTTTAAATGTAAAAGGAAGCTTCACACAAAGGGAGAGTTTAACCACATAAAAGTGTTTTATCACATTAAAGGAGTCTTTTACATTTCTCTTTTATTCTATATAATAGATACTAATAAATCATTGGCAATGTCCCCCAAAAATGATCCGAGACAAACATAAAACTCTGTGAGTGAGGAGAGAATATTCTTGACAATCCAACTGACAGTTTGATTACTCTATGACATGTATTATTGCCGAGGCTACATATACGCCAATTGCCAAATGTAAAACAGAAACAACATACTCAACATTAGGAATCAATTGAAGCAGAGGGGGAGAAACACCGGGGTTCAAAGATGACATGTGCTTATAATGTAAAACTGTATTGAGATGACATCATCGCTGATTGGTCAAAACAAATGACTTCATCAATGGCGGTTTCAAAATCTTCATAATACACTTCGAATAATATTATGTTCGTTTCTGGAGTGTAAACCAATACCATAGCTTCTCATTTTACATCAAGATAAAGAAAGGTGTACGGAATATGCCTATATCAGTTAAAAAATCCCATCGAAGTGTAGTATTTGATAACTAGCCGATGAAAATTATAACGAACGAAGGTGGAAAGCAAGAGACGTAACTAAGTGTGTCATCTTTAAACTCTGGGGCTTTCCCTCCTCTTCAATTGAAGTGTAGTATATTATTGAGGATTTTAATGGGCGATAATAAGACTGTCAAATAATAAGGGCTGTAGGTAATGTTATGTTATTTTATTTACCATTATAAGCTTTATGTAAAAATGTTTGCATAAAAATGTCAATCAGAATATTATCAGCACTTTACTAATTGTTAAACTTTTATATACAGGGTGTCCAAAAAACAGGACCGTAAGAAAGTTGAATAATTCGGTCAATTTTGCATATTTTCCCTTGAAATTTAATAATTATTTAATTCATTTAATGAGATTATTATGTTGTGAAAGTTTCATGATAATCTGATGATTGTGTCAAAAACTACAGTACTTACAAAACATGCTCAAAATGGGCACTTCGTCTCTCTATGCACAAATGAATTCTGCAAACAAAGTTGTTAATGACCATGACCTATAC